ACTATTTTTTAGCAGTACTATATACAATAAAACATTCAATATCATTTTTTAATTCAAGAAATTTCAAATTGCTAATATTTACCATCATTTTGCTAGCCATCAATTAGTGTTACCCTGCATAAGTTTCCTAGCTTGCTTAAGGAAAAAGTGCGAAGTGCACCTGCTTGAAAGCTTCTGAAAGCAGTGGGGAAGGAGTGACTAAGGATGGGAATATGCAATCAGGAATTGGGAAAAGGCTGAGTCTGTCTGAGAAGGGCATTATTGACTTCTGCCAAGGTTAAGTAACTGCAAATTTGAAATGTTACATAGTAAATCCCTACAGATGCTGCAGAAAATCACACCACTTCCCTTTATCTCCTATGTAACATACAAGCACCTATGTAGGAGGTTTGGAAAAATACAACAAAGAATCTCATTACTATTAGAAATATCCATGGTCTTAAACTTCTGTATTTTAAAATATTGAGATACTTGCCATTCCATGTAAGTACTTTAAAAGCAGTGACAGCTTTATTGCTCAAGAACACATACGGGGAGAAGTGTAATATTTCTTATCCTTGCAGCTGAAATAGAGCCCTGTGTTCAGAGAAGAAGGCTGGAAGAAAATTTCCAGTCAAACTCTTTACATATTTAAAAATGTGTTTTCCTTACAGAAGATGTAGGTCTTCATGAAAGAGGACTTCTTTACAAATGCAAAACACATTCTCTTCCACTATAATATTAAGAAAAATAATACAAAGAAATGCAGCAATAGCCTAAAATCTGAGTTTTAATACAACATGTCAAATTTTGCAGTATCTTATTTCTCGTATGGCCACTCCAAATGTAATATTTTGAAAGCTCAAATATCTCCATGCTGAAACAGAGTGGAATTGCAAAGTCTCTTGTTTTGTTTTTATAACAAGCACTGCACCTCAGCCCTGAAATTTTGCCTTCCAGTATAATACCCATGTGTTCCACGGAAGTTAGACTTTCAGGAACTCTCTAACCTGAATGAAGCAGAGTTTAGAAACAATGACCTCTTTCTGATCTAATTTTGCTCAGCGTAACTTCAAAGCTGTTGGAGATGCAAGAAACTGGCACAAGTAGGATTGAAACCAGGTCCTCTATCTCTTAGACTTTACACATGAGAGCTCTGTGACACTTTCCCACTTGTTTGGCACCTCTGCTTACGTAAGCCATACACTGTTCTTGCAGCAGTACACGGAAAGCATGCTCTACTGCACTTCTTACTTCGTGACAAGAGCATATTGCTTCCAAACAGACTTCATTCTCTGTCAAAAACTGAACTCTTTTAGACTGAATTTAGTTTTGCAATAAACAAGAAGGTCATGCAATCTGCTCCAGAAGTAAGGACATTTCACATGTCTGTAATGAAAATATGCTTATAAAAATTTATATTTTGTAAAAGAGCACAACACAGTCAAGTTATATATATATATATATATATATGTTTTCAATGCACTAAGAGGCATCTCACAGGCCAGATTAAGTTTTTGAAAATTAAGGAAAAAGTTTCCTTAAGGAAGACAACTAGTGAAATGAGATCAGACCCAAAAACTTCAACTCTCAGGCATTCACTATTACTGGATGATCTTCTCAGAGCTCTTTACCCAGCAGCTGATCTCTGTGGACTTGTGAAATGAAATGACTATCTTCGTTTCCTATGTGTCCATCATATGTATCAATCCTTTCCCTTATAGAGATGATAAGGTTAAAAAGGAAAAAACTGTATCCCTCTTACAGGTTTATAACTATAATTCTCTCCTACATTCCAGCATAATTTGCAATTCTCAAACTGCTTTCTCAAAACCAATGTCAGGACTTTGGAAAAGCTCAGATGTAGCTCGCTTAACAGCTAGTCTTGCTGCTCAGGCTCAAACTGCTCCTCACAGCTGAACAGTTGTTAATATTTATTTGAGGGTCTGCGAAAAGATATGCACTCCATAAAGAAAGAAATGGAGAAGAAATTATTCTCTCCCTTTAAAGAACTCTTAATGAGCTACACATCAGACATCTCATTCTGACACTGCCATCCTTTGCGACTCCAAGGCCAAGTGTTTTGTGGTTGGCACTTTCTCTCTGGCAAAAGAGAGAGTGTGTAGCTAGGAAGGACACTGGGAAATCCTCAGGGTTGAGAAGGTCAGTAGGGCAGAAACAGAGTGATCTTAGGGGGGAGAAGCCCACCCTTACAGCAGTAGGTGTTTAAAATAATTAAATGCCATCATATCAGTTAAGGAAGTACTACATTGTAATACAAGGGAGAGCAATGTGTTTTTTGGTGTTGGTTGTGGGGTTTTTTTGTGATATTCAGGAAGAAATCACTTACATGGACTGTGTGTGCAGGCTGCTTAACATGGTAACAAGAACAACGAAAACAAGGAGGTAGGACTTTGCAGGCCTACCTGCAGCAATTACAAAATCTTCCTGCTAGCAGACCTCTCCTTCCCACATCTAGCAGAAGCCACAACTTCGCAAATCCACTCACACAAACACTGTTCCGGTGCTTCTGCTTCAGAATGAGGAGTGGGAGAGACACATGGATGGGGCTGAGGTTGCTGTCTGATGCTGTGAGCAAAGGTGAAGCTGGGCCTGGCTCTTGGTTCAGCTATGACTGCTGGGCCAGCTGCTACTCATGCATGGCACTTCAGCAAGCCTCTGTCACTTCAGCAAGGCCAGAAAGCAGGCAAAGTCAGAAGCAGCCAGATCTTTTCCCCAGCTCATGCAATTGCTCTTTTCCACTGTAAAAACAGGACAGTTCTCCATACTAGTTATAGTCACAGACTACCAATAGACCATGCTGATAGAGCTGTGCTCTACGTAACATGAAAACTGCATTTGGTAATTCATTCAAGATCAGCAAACAAACAAGGCATTTTTCCCTCTTTTTTTTTTTTTTTTTAAAAAAAAAAACTTTTTTCATTCATACATGCTCAAATTAGCTCCATTCACTGCCTGGAAAATCAGTACAGATATGACATTAACAACTGTTATCAATAATGATGCGTTTTCTTCAAGACTAAAAAGCAAAATTATCCAAATGAAACCTCTAATTTAAGCCAGATCCTTATGATGATAGAGAATCTAACATTCTTGTATGGTGGGATTGATATGTTTTGTATGTTATGTAAACAAATACGAAGGTTGCTCTGAAAGAAATGTCTCTTTCATTAAGCTGGCCCAAGACATCAGAGGCAGATGTTGGTGGTATGGCAATAGAGGTTGAACCTTCCCACCAGTATTTTGTTACACTTTGTTTCTGTGTGACAAACGGCAGCAGAGGGGTGGTCTGACATGGAAGTGCGTATTATTCATAGAACCACAGAATGACTTGAGCAGGAAGGGGCCTTAAAGCCCACACAGTTCTGACTCCCATGCTGTAGGCAGGGCTGCCACTCACCAACTCAGGCTGCCCAGGGCCCAATCCAGTTTGGCCATGAACGCCTCCAGGGATGGGGCATCCACAGCTTCTCTGGGCAGCCTGTGCCAGCACCTCACTGCTCTCTAAGTACAAAATGTCTTCCTAGCATCTAGCCTCAATTTCCTCTCTTTTAGTTTAAAGCCATATACGAAGCAAAGGTGTGTAATTGAATTCCACCATGCGGAAAGAAGGCTCCCACTGCCATTCATCAATACTTGCTGAACTTTTATGGAGACCAAAAAGTGGATGAGAGCCACAGAGAGGCAATGCATGGTGTGTTACAGTATACTGCATATATTGTATAGTGTATATTTCAGTATATTGTATATATTGTATATCATACATATTCAGTACATATTTCAATATATTGTTTGTATTATTTTGTACACTGTTTCTTTATGGTCAATTTCATCAAATAACACTGTTACTATTCCACATAGATGAATCTACTTTCCTCAAGGTTGCTATAAAGAATAAAATTATGAATAACCTGAAGTTCAGACCTTTCCTTCTAATAGGAAGATAAACTGTGTTGGGATTTAATCACTCTTTTTGATGAAGTGTATATAACTCTCTATTTGAACTCTGGGCCAAATTTCCTTCCATTCTACCCTATCTTCCACCATATTTATCAGACCACGGATGCTGCTAATTAACACATGAAAATTCAGAGTAAATTCACTAGCTCCAATCTTCTTTACTACAGAATTGATTTGATAGTAATCTTAATATCAAATAGTGAATTTTCTAATCCAACCACAATAGCAGATGAACTCTAAAAGGTTCTTTTCTCTCAACTGAAAATAAGTTATAATTGTCATATTTTAGATCAAGAGGACACATGAAGGTAAGTGAATTAATATTGACTTGATTCAGTTCAAACTGATGGTCCACACTGCTTTCATATTTAAATCACATATTATCTTTGGATTGGTAGGAAATCATTTCAATTAATCACACATTTTCTTTCTGACAGGGAAGTAACACCTATATCACAAATCCTATAATGCACTAAAACCCAAAGGCACCATAGACTTACAGCAAAAAAGGAACCTCCATTGAGACAAATCAACTCGCTCACTTCAAATTTCTTTAAAAATTACACGTTTTTTTTTAGGATCAGATGCTCTTTAAATTACAGCAGCCAACATGAAACTAGCATAACTAGAGCAATGATGCACAACTTAATACGAGAGAAATGTGGTCATGTGCCTACATTTAATCCAGATCAAATTTGTATTCATGTGTGATTCAGGAGTACACAAATCCGGTACTAATGGACATGAAACCATGGCCCTACAGATAGCCCAACTTTTGATACTGTATTGATGTAATTAACAGATCTTTCAATAGGCAAGTATTTTCTTTAAATATATCCAAATACTTCTCGCAGCTGGGATGTTCTTTTCCATGTAAATAAGAAGTTAGAAAAACTCAACTCCATCACAACAAACTTGTCATATACAAAGGGCTGTAAATGTGTGCTTGCAACCAATTCTAATATGTAAAACAAACACAATGGACTGGAACTCGAACCTCATTCCACATATATAAACTAGTAAAAAATAAGAAATCTTACCTTTTTCACTAACGCTTTCACTTTCAATCTCCACATCATCACAACTCGTGTACTCTGGAGTAGATGCCAATTCTTCTTCTGAGCTACTTAATGAAACCTGGCGCATTTTACCTCCCTTTTTTGTTTTATGGGGCTTTGGTGGTGGAGGTCTGACAGATTCAGACTGGTCTGAGCTGAGTGAATCATTCCTTAACATGGTCTCCATCTTTTCACGTTTCGTTTTCCGCACAGCAGAATTGGGATCCAAATGGTGTTGTTTCCTTAATGAATCAGAGCGCCTCATGTCCGGTCTTTCCAGAGGAATTGGACTCCTCCTAGGTGTAGGAGGGCTATGATTTGTGGTCCTCTGACGATTGGGACTTGGTCCCTGAGCCTCTCGAGTTCTTTCCATAGAGTATGAACGCTGATTTTCCATGGCAGCTCTGCGCTCAGACACCGATCTTTGCCTTGAGGGTCGTTCCATCCTCAGCACAGATATCCGCGAGTCTTCCAACTCAGTATTTGCCAATGAGACATCGCTGTGTCTCCGTTCATGACGTGCTCGGGACACTTCGGCATGGATGCGCATTTGTTCCTCATATGGTTGTGGCTTGACTGGATAACGAGCCAAGTTAGGATCACTTCTGTATCGTGCCTGATATTCCTCTTCTCTCCTCTGCCTTTCATATTCCTCCCTGTTCTGTGCATCCTCCTCTTCTACCGGATACTCCTTGGAACGCCTGCGACTCCTCCTGTTGGAATCTCTATAATCACCCAGTTCAGGCTCTTCGTATAACTGAGGGCCACGCTGTGACCGCCTATCGGAATAATCTGATGGTGACCTGGGCATCGCACTGTCTGATGTTGCATACTGTGAATATTCGTCTCTCTCTTCCCTCTGGTCGTATCTTCTGTTCTGTTCTCTTGATATTGATGGGCTTCTTTTCCTAAACAATCATGACAAGAAATAAGAAAAAGAATTTTGTTAATATTTCCCGTAGCACAGATATACATTTAAGGCCAACTAAATGATACAAAGATCGGCTAATGGGGAAAAAATCCATTCACTGCATTTGTTCATGAATGTGCTCACACAATTCCTGTACTAAAATAAAGACCACATGTTTATGGTGTATAACTAAAATAAAAAACAGCTTTATAGGAGAAATGTTTATACAACACCATGAAATACAGAATACAAATACTTTATTTTGCAATTGTAACTGATTTACAAGTACCAGGATTCTATAAGCTTTTGTACTCTTTTTCCAGCGATACAATCTGACCATGTAATTTTGTTTCATAGGATTGTATAGTCATGACAGAAATTAAGGCTGTGTGTCTCACTACATTAGTTTGATGTTTTAGCTTCCATTATTGCTTAAAAATATACATTTCATTTCCCACAGAGCTCTGATGTGTGCCAAGGGAAAAAAGGAGGATGAAGATCCAGTGGCAGCAGATGTCTAGCAAAGATCCTCAAACTTCCACCTGATTTGACAGAAAAATCCTTCCCATCCCTACTTCTCTTGTATCATTTTCTGCTACAGACCGCATCTAGCAATGGGCAACTTCTGAGGATAACAAGGAAAACAAAACAAAAAGAATTATCAACAGATATTCTTTCCTGAACACTGACAAACATTTGACCAAAGCACACAGTTTTGTTGTAAACAATATCTTAACAGGGAATCTGTCTTAAATATATAAAAAATATTACATTAATTCCATTCAATGTAGCATTGCTTGCTATTTGAATAGAATGAATTAATTAAAGAAGGAGGAGTGATTCATAAAAAAAACGGACTGAAACTTCAAACTGTGCCTGAATTAATCCAAAAAGGATGATGAGTGTTCAAAATTCTACAACCAGATGTGTCCAGCTTGGGACTCAGCACCCCAGATTCAGCTGAAAGAGTTACCTGTGGGAAACCGGAGCAAACATTATTATCATATTATCAGCCATCTGCACTTACATTTTGTTCTATCTTTGCAATTAAGAACCTTCACAAATGTCCACTGATCCTGATCATAGGCAGCAACATGGGGATCCTGCCCACTGTCTAGGCTAGAGAAAGAACAGCAAATACACAACCTGCTGTTCCCACAGCTGTCCTAAAAATGAAAGGCTCCAACTTAGTGAAGGGGAGAAGGAAAAGCAGGCCCTCATGGTGCCCAGGAAAGCATGCAGAAAAGGCTCTGCCTATGTACTTGCACAGAAAACTCTTCTCACAGCCAAAAAGGAAAGACTGTCTCAGCTCATCAAAGGAAAACTACAACTGCAGGAGAGGAGAGTGTGCAGAGGATGACTGGCCAGTCGGCATTCTGGCTTAGGTACCATACAGGGTTTTTAAACTATGCATGAAAGATTTGGACCCAGTCCAGACCAGTAAACATTAAAGAACTTTAGCCTTATAAAGGCACCTGAAAACGAGGAAACTAATTCAATCATGCAAAAGTGCAACTCCTCCTGAAGGTGAAGGATGACAAGTACTATAAGCATCATTTGGATGCCTATTTACTTATTGTGAAGTTAAGATGTCCTATCTGTCTTAATAAACTGTCATGTTTAAGACTAGCACAAATCATAACCTCTGCACATTTAAGAAAAAACTCTATGGCTTCTGCTACTGAGGAGTCAAGCTGAATTGTTCTCATATGACATAAACAGAGTTTCCCAAGTCTAAAACCAGAACAGCCAATAGAAATAGACAAGTAGGACAACATAATTGCCAGCACCATAGAGCTTGCAAAGACATATAGGTTTTCATTAAAACAAGAGAGATTAGAGGTAGAAACTTAGTTTAAGTTTCTAGTTAAGTTTCTTAGTTTTAAGAAGACGTGTATCTTTCTGTTAATCGGTTTTCAGTGGATGAAAAAATCACCACTTCTGAAATTAAGATACTTCAACTGCAAATTACAGATACTGTTGAAAATTCCTGCCATACCTGTAATGAAAATGTGCCTAGCTTCTCCTCAGTTCCATTCTATGCAATCACAAAATCTTTCATCTGTGCACGTATCCAATTGGAGTAGATGGCACTCAGTTGATAGGATCATCCACATAGATTTCACTGCATGATTGAGACAATATGTGTGCAAGTTCTATCTGCATATACTCTGCTTTCAATATTAAATGCTGGAGATAGTGAGTGTGCTTTATGTGTAGAGTTGATATATTTGCAGCTGCAGATTTTTGCAAGTATTTGTTCCTCAAAGACATAAAAACACCCTCAGCACAGTTTAGAAGATCACGTTCATAGTGAACTGTGTAACATATAAGACACTACACACAATCCAGTTTGATGAATCTAATGTATGCTTTAGAGTATACATAGTCTACACGGTTTTCAGGATGAAATATATGCATATGTATACTTACAGCAGTATAAATAATGGAGTAGTTAGAATTAGTTTGGCTCCACTTGGGAGATCATATATACATGCACACACATACATGACTACTTCACACAGTCCTCCTAACAATGTGTAGAGGACAAATCTCTGCAAACACTGCTACTTAAATGTCATGGGAGGAATGACTAAGGGTGAAAAAGATGGGATTTCTGCATGAGTAAAAACACTGATTGTACACTTCCTGCTTACACCAATGTACTTCTATCTCAAAAACATATATTTTTTGGAACTGTTACAAGACTTCTAGAAAATTGACTTTTTTGTCCTAGCATGAGCTATGCTAATGAGAGGAGGATGGGCCAACAGAGTTCTGTGTTTTTATACCTCTTACACAAATGATTTCCAACCACTTACCACAAGCAGTCATTACCTTTTCTTGCTTTCATTGCCAAGACATGAATACAGAACGACAGCAGTGGCTGACAGCAATGTAAAGATAAGCTGAGCTCTCAATCTACTCCAAACCTTTCATGGAAGAAACAGCCTTATACAGGTGCCCTGCACAAGCCAATATTGGGCCAAGAGGAAAAAGGACCTTCTGAAAATGCAACTTCAATCCTCAGAGGGTGCAGCCTGACAGGTAAAGTCACTACTGTAATTCCTAGCCTATGCTGACTGGGACCAACACACTTTCCTTCTAATTAATTTACTCCCTCCTGAAGAGATCCAACTTAACTACCAGTATCAAATGCCAGCAGATGCAATCCCATCCCACAGAAACAAATTAGCAGTACTCACGCACCACTGGGCCAGAATCTTGCTGGCTAGAGAGGGCTCATGCTGCCCTGCAGCCCTCACACCACAGGGCACTGCAACTCACCACTGCTTTACTGCTCACACGGCCCCCCCAGACCATTAGCACTCTTTTTCATTTTAAAAATACCTGCAGTGAACGCAGCTGTGCAGTGCACGTGGACATTTGGAACGGTGTTATTAAATCGTGGCAGGAGGCACAGTCTTCACAAAAACTTATGGTCAGTGACTGCTATTAAAAATCTGCTGTTATTTTTAGATCACACTAATTCTCACTCACCTTCACCAGCCTCTGTCTAATCCATTTCTCACTGTTAACTACCGCTAAGATACCTCAACAAAGGCGTTCCACGCCTTGGACACTGACTGCACATGCACCTGGACAGCCCAGCATACAGTGGGCAGCAGAAGCCCTGGGTGCCACAGCACCCAGCACAGCCCGGCCCCACCACCCACCGTGCACCCCTCATCAGCAGGGCTGCCCCATATCTGAACAGTTACTGCACCTCAAGGCCACTGAGACCACTGTCCCTTTGAATCAGTAATAAAACAAAATCTCTATTATGATTAGAAAAACCTAGAACCTACAAACCTACACAGCTCTCTTTCTCAGGCACAGTTTATAAAAACGCGCTTTTCAGATAGGAAAACTGAAATTCATTTTCTCCAACTTATCACTAATAATCATCATCATTTATTACCTGTACATGACATTTAGGCTTATAACACATCTTTCTTAACCTTACGCCAGTGGAAACCTCATTTGCACTGCACTACGAATGTCACTACAGAAAAGCAAGTAGCTTCACTGTAACCTGACAACGCACTTAAGTTATTCAATCCCTCCCCATGCTTCAGCAACATTATAAGTACTTGAAATATGGCACAGAAGAATGTAACACTGCTTTTTTTCATGGCCCTGATTTCAGTAACAAAACAAAACAGCCTAAAAATCTTTGACATTCATTTGTATTCTTCTTTGGAAAATCACCCTCCTGCTTTGTTTTACATTTGGGTAAAAAAAAAAAGAAAAAAATACACTCAAAAGTACCAAGGAATAGGCAATATGAAAAGGCAAGTTTTTGCATCAGATTCCAAAACCACAGTAAAAACCAGATCTCAGATCTTTCTGACTACTAAACGTGTTCTCAGGCCCATAGAAGACACACATGAACTGAAGAAAACTTTTAAGAAAATGTCCTTCTGAAGATACGTCCAAACGTACGGGTTCCTAAACTCACCTTGGACTTACCTAGGGTCAACCACAAAATCAGTAAGGGCTTAGTGGCCCAAGCCACCATCAGCTACTTCTAAGACCTATTTTTTACTCAGCAAACAATATACTAACTTGGTCTCTACTCCCTATAAATTAGGGAGGAGTAGTTGACTGGAAATGCAAAACTGAAGATGTTTGTCTTGCACGTACTGTGATCTTCCACAACGCTTTTCAAAATGTGCTGCATCTAGCACATGAAATAATAACACAGAGTAGGTAAAAACTCACATTTCCAACAGATATAGGCTGGTTTACTTAGCAATAGGGATTAGTGCATTAGTTTAAGAACCAATATATCAGTTTCGCAAAAGGAATCCATAAGTGATAGCTCCAAAACTTTCCATTTCAATTAAGTGGGTGAACTGGCTTGTTTTTCCTCAATAATTTTGCTCTGGGGACATAACAGAATACTTTCATCTTCTGCCTCAGAGATTTTGCCTCATGAGAAGTACTGGAGTCACAATAGAATATTTTTATATTTTCCCTCTAAACATGCAAGGA